AGAAAGAGAGAGAGAGAGAGAGAGAGAGAGAGAGAACACCACGGTATCACCATGTAGCACCATGAATCTCTGGGCAGAGCACACTGCCAGGCAGCCAGAGGATAGCAGGTAGAAGGCAGGAGAACCCACCCTTAGGGCAGGATTACCTTCTGAAGGGCTTTGGATTCAAACCAGTGAATGGAAAGAACTGAGTCTAGATTCTGGATTAAAGAACAAAGAGGAAAACTCCAGGTGTGACCACTCTGGGACTGCAGTGAGCAGGTCATTTAGATCTCAGACTGGAAATCTCCATTTAGTTCCTCCAAAAAACACAAGCTGTTTTACCAACCCATCTCAAATTCATCCTCTGGAGATAAGAATATACCCTGTGTGCTTCCAACCAAATTTGTTTGACTATAGGGCCTGAGGAATTTAAGTTAACAATAAATACCAGAGTCCAAGGAAAGGGGACCAATCTTTGTTCAAAAGAGCATTTCAATGATTCAATGTGGATTGGGAGCAAAGGAATGAAAGGGGCTGTCTTTGAAGTGGGACTAATCCATCTAATTCCAAGTGACTGGATTAGAGGCATTCCTGGGCAAGCAGGGTCTGGCTGCAGATTAGGCTACACGAATGTCAATTTCTGACAAAAGGCACAAGATCTGTGGAAGGATTTCAAAATGGACAAGACCAGGAGGAGGCACCTTGGCAAAGTTCACCCTCTGCTAGGTAGCAGTTGGTTCTAGAAGGGGGAGGCAGGCTGTGACAGCTGAGCATTCCTTCCCAAAGTCCATCTCCGAGGCAGAAGCCTCTCCAAACCTTACACTTCATCAGACAAAAGCTCCTCCAGGCGCCAGGCAGTGGCTGAAGAGGGGCCGTCCACACCCACCCGCCAGCACGGCTTTCCAAACCTGCCCACTCTTTTGGAAGCCGAGCTTTTAATTAAACACCACCTCCCCGGATCTGTCGAGGCAAACTGGGGCTGGGCTGGAGCCAAAGAGAAGCTCCCTAAATACACATGAAAAATACATTCCCCCCACCGCCCCCAATTCCCACCTCCAGCCAGCTAGCATGCTTGGTTATATTTCCTCTGGATGAGTAACATAGGGAGGGCCCTGGTCTATCTCTATGCACCAGAAAATCCACATCCGAGGATCAGGTTATCTCCAGTCCCACCCTTTGCAGGAAAAAGCCAGGGTGTTGCTCCCCGCCCCCAACATACACGCGCGCGCGCACACGCACGCACACAATCTCCACAATCCTTCCAAAAGAAAACCAGGAGTGGGGTGTGGGGTTTTCTTTTTCTTTCTTTTATGTGTATTTTTTTTGGCGGGGGGGAGAGAGACATAGTTGCTTAGGGGACCCCAATCTTGCCTTCAGGCTGGAAACCTCAGCTTAAGGGCTCCTGCCAGGCTTCCCTGGGAACTTCTGCCCCGCGTCCCGGGGGAGGGCTGAGAGAAGGCATGCACGCCCTCACCAGTTTGGAACAGCCTAATTAATAACTAATTTGCTCTGATCCCACCACAGCAGGTATACTTGAAAGCCAAGGAAGGAGGAGGCCTCCTTTTGGTCTCCCAGGCCGGGGAGACTCCTTCCTACGACCAGGCAGAGCCCCGAATCCCTCCCCACCACCGTGCCAGGCGCCTCCGCCCGAACCCGGGAATCTGGTGTCCGCGGGGTATCCAACCTCCACGGGTCTCAGACACTCAGTCCAGGAACAGACAATGGAAAACTTGGAGCCAGGGCCGTGAACCCCCAGAGGAACCAGATGGTGCCGCCCCCTGGGACAATGAACAGGGAGATGGCAGGGGGCATCAAACCTCCCCAGGGAAGTCGCCCGCCCAGTGACCCAGCAGAGCTGGGAACAGCGCCCCGAGTAAGCAGGTGACACCCCGGCCGGCGCTCCCGCAGGTGGCCGACTGCCACCGCGCAAGCAAGGGCCGGGCCGCTTGCGGGAGGTGGAGGCGAAGCCCCGCGGCGAGGTCAGTGCGCCGCGGCTGCAGCGGCCGCGCCCCCGGCGTCCTACCTTCATGTCGCTGATGATGGTCTGGAAGAGGCCTCCGAGCGCGCTGCATTCCTTCTCAATCACAGCCTCCATTTTCCCGGCGCCGGCAGGGAGGACACACTCGCGTGGCCGCTGGACTGCGCGCGGGGCCGGGGCTCGTTCACCCCGGGAGGAATTTCACGCTCTAAGCGACCCAACCAACGACTCTCCGCCTCTTCAGCAGAGCGGACGGAATGCACGAGATCGACTGTTCTCTGCCCAAAATAATAACAAAAATTTAAAAAGCCAAACCGTTCTGTAGGGTGATTCGCCTACATGCAGTGCTCGGCTTCTGGCCTCAAAAATGCCCACAGAAGACTGACAATCAGGCCATCACAAGTGCCCACGACGGAAACGGCAAAGCCCATCTTGATGCAGAGAAAACCTCCTGCTGACCCGGGGCCAGCGCCATTTAAAAAATGCAAGATTTTCAAATTTTACTTATTATTTATTTTTTGAAATTAAAAAGAAATGGCCCAGTAGCAGAAAAGGTCTGCTCTAGGCGCCCGGATCTGTTGCTCGCAGCCGCGGCCGCCGCCTCCTTTTCACTCCTGCGCGCCTGGCTCCGGCGCTCGCTCTGGCTGGGCTCCCGGGGACGTTCGGAGGGGCGCACGCGCGCTCGCGGCCGTGCGTCCGACGCGGATGCGCGGGGAGGGCGCGCGCTCGGGGCCGTGCGTCCGCCGCACGCGGGCGGGGCTGGGAGCGCGCGCCTGGGAGGCGCGTGGAGCGCCCGCCGCAGGGAGGGCGGGCTGCAGGCGGCCCCTGGCGGGCCCTCCGCCTCCCGGACACATGGAGTACCTTCTCCGCCCCTGGCCGCCTGTCGCAGCGCAGAGAGGGATGGTCAGCATCCCGCCAGGCGAACAGTCCGAGCGCCCGGAACGGAGATTGCACCGCCACTCCCCGGGGACTTGTTCCGCTGGCAGGCCTAACCCAGCGCCAGGCCCCAGTAAGCGCTCGTTGGGACGGGAAAGCTGCTGCTGCAACCTTCTGAGAAGAAGCCCTTTCCGTCATGTCAGGACTGTAACAGGGAGTCATGATCGCATATAGCCAAATATGTAATTAAGGAGAGTTGGGGACGTATCCTGCAGTGGAATGCTGAGTTCGATAAAGTTGCAGGATGCTGGGGTAAGTGGGTTGATGAGCCAGTGCAAAATGAATGGAATCATGGAAGCAGTAGAGCTCTTAAGGCCTGTCCGTCAGTCTCTAGAGATTGCTCACTGCCTGTGACGTGGAAAGTTGATGTTTGCAGGCGCTCTGGGCGCATGGGGTGTTGCTATAACCGCAGAGGACCCTTGATTAACCTGGAAAGAACACGAAGTGCCCAGGTTAATGTGGGATGTGGTGGTTTGTGTTCGCAGGTCAAGTGAATAATAACTCCACAACCAGGACAACTCATTCTCATCAGCGTCAACTGGGCGCCCAACAGTATGACAGAGAGGAATCAAATGAACAACTTTTAAAGGACATTAAACAAAGCACCTAACTGGACTTTGACCCTGTAGCTAACCACTTGAAGCACAAAACATAACAAGTGCAAAAAGGGGTGGAGCAGGTGGAAAAAGGAATGGAGCAGATGCAGTAAGAAACCAAGTGCAAAATGTGGCAGACTTGTGTCAGATTCACTCAGTAGCAGGAAAAGCCCTGGCTTTGAACAAAACCTGGATCAGAGGGATGCCTGGAGCTGCTTCAGCCACAGATCTCCTGGATCACTCTGCCCAACTCAACTGTCCCTCCATTCACCTGTCTCCCCAAAATCACTAGGACAGGTGTTACCTTCTGGAAGTAACTGATTTCAGGCCAACCTGCTGTTGGACCCCATCCCCTAGGATATTCGAATACACAGGCCTCATTCTCACCCTGCTAGTAACAGTGTTTGACACGTGGTTTGCTCTTACCATTATCCTTATTATGATTTTAATGCTATCAGTATTATAATGATCAAGATGACTATTTGTAAAGCCAGATTGCATGGTTCAAATTCAGTTTACACTACTAACTGTATGGCTTTGGATAAGTTACCTACCCCTCTAGGCCACAGTTTCCTCATCCATAATTGAGGATGATGATGGCATCCGCCTGACTGGGCTATTATACACATTACATGAGCTAATGTATGAAAGAACTTAAAGTGGCATCTGACATATGGGAAGAAAAACATTCAAAAAATATCAACAGAAGTAGAGACCAAGCCAAAGCCTATGTCTAGCTGGTCCCAGACTACCCCACTGCCAGCCTATAATGTTGGCATGATGTCCCACTGACTTGCTGAGACCTACCATGAGCCATCCAGCATTTCACATACACCGTGTCTAATGGGAGGCTGCGTCCTTCCATCCTCATTTCACTGTTGGGAGGACTCCAGCCCTGGCTTTCTGACTCAATGTCCAAGGTCTCCCTTCTGTTCAACATCCAGATCCTGGGATTAGGGGCCCCTGCTCCAGTCCAAAAGACACTAAGCTCAGCTCTCCTGCCACACGCTCCACACACCTCAGCTTCAGCAGTGTGTGCCAACTGCCCCTCTCTTGTGGCCTCTTTTTTCCTTGTGCCTCTCATGGTCTCAGGCCTGAGAATGAGGATCTTGTCTCTCATAAGAAAGTAAAACATTCAAAATTTCTGTCTGGGAAAGTTCTCGAGGCAGGACAGGCCCAAATGTGGGAAGGACACACTTTTTTTAAAGACTCAAGGGAGGCTGATGAATGGAAGGATCTTGGAGAGAGGGTGATGACAAGATCAGATTTGTATCCCGTACAGTATATTCTTCTCCCGTGCAGAACATCATTCCAACATCCCCCTTCAACACATCAGGCACTCGCTAGGAAAGTAAGAGCCCACGAACATGCAGCTCTTCAGGGGAGCATTTGCTGCTGCTTCTTGTTGTTTATTTATTTAGTTATTTATTTTTATTTTTTTTTTTTGAAGTGCTGGGGATTGAATCCAGGACCTCATTCACTGCGGTTCTTAAAACCCCATAGGAGGGGGAATCCAAAAGAATGAATCCCCATTAGAGGAATTTGAATCCCTGGAGGTGTGTCCAGAGTGTGTGCCACTATTTCCTGGCTCTGTGACCTCTGGCAGGTTATGGGCTCCCTGGAGCCAGCCTGTTTCCCCAGTTCCCACCTCACTAGCCATTGGGAGGATTGGCACAGTAGTCCCTGCTTACCACTTAGTAAGGCTACACTCATGGGTTCCCCTCTTCCTAGCAGTAACTCTCAACCCTGGCTGCCTGGAGGGCCCTGCCTGGTCCTCAAACTTGGCCGCATATTAGAATCCGGGTGGGGGGATTTTAAAATACCCATTCCTATCCTCTGCAGCCAGCAAATCTGATTTAGTTGGTCTGGGCTATGACCTGGGCATCAGGACTTTTTGTTCTTTTCTTTCTTTTTTCTTTCTTTTTTTTTTGCTAGTGCTGGTAATGGAAACCAGGATCTTGCACATGCTAATTAAGAACCCTGATCTATGGAAATTTAAAAGAGGGTACCCATCCCCAGGTCCTACCCCTGAAGAAATTCAAATGGAACCTCTGAGAACTGGGCTCCAGAATTCTTTGAACATATCATACATATTTTATTCCATCCTCATAAAAAGATATATGCCTGGGGGTTAGGGGGAGTGGATTTTGTCACTGTTTATAAGAATAGGATCTTATTGTGCACACTTTCCCAGACCTTGCTATCGACAGTCAATTGCTGTGAAAATTCCTCCGGGTTAACTAGTAGTATTCTAATTTAGTCACTTTACTTTTAATCTTTTATTTTGACATAATTTCAGACTTACAGGAATGTTGAAAAAATAGTCCCAGGAGATCCCATTTACCCACTTAGAGTCCCCAAATGTTAACCGGTTGTGGTTCTTCCTTCATACCTGGATAGGTTTTTAAAGCCCCAGATGATTCTAATCTGCAGCATGGTGCTATTCGAGGCCTCCCAGGGTGCGGTGAGACTCAGGCAGGTCTGTGAAATTTCTGAGCTTTTTTTTTTTTGGTGTGTGTGTGTACATGGTTGTATGCGTATATGTGCTGAGAAAGCAATTTGGGTTTAATACCCATGAACATGACTATAGATTTTATGATGTTCTCATGGAAGCTTCTGTCCTGGCCAGCCAGCAATGTGTCTTTTTTGATCTGCAATGTTCTGTATAGAGCCTGTTCTACAGTACGAATTCAACTTAGATGTGATGCCTCTTAAAAATATTAGTGTACAAAGAAGGCTTGAACACTAAGATTCTCTTGGATTCTTTGGGGTTTTTGTTGCTGTTATTTGTTTCGTTTTGTTTTTTAATCAAGCTGAATATCTGAGCTTTCGTGAGGGGCCTTCGCATCAGAGGCCGCTGTGTGAGGTGGCTGAGATGGTGGCCTCTGAGTCAGGCCACTGGGCTTAATTCTGGCTCCATCACTTCCCAGCCTTCTGTGCCTCCGGTTCCCCAATATAAAACAGGGATAAGAGACTTGCTGCGTGAGCAAGGGTGGGATTACTTAGACTGCCCCAGCTCCCAGTGAGCGCTCACCAAAGGCCAGCTCTCCCTACATGGAGCATTCCGTGGTCCATCTATGAACTAAAGTTGGTTTAAGCTTGCCCTGGTGAGCTGTAAGCAGGATTCTTCATGATCCCAGAGTACTTAACTCCCTCAGACCAATTGGGGAGGTGTCAATATTATAGAAGGGCTTCCACTTGGAAACAGGTACCTTTTAAAAATGAAATTAGCAAGAATCAGTTAAAAATATCTGCCACCGTGACTCACCCTAAGTGATGTTTTGTGTATGTTTTGTGGGTGGCAGGCTGGGAAACGCCCAAGTGTAACCTCAGTGTCCAGAATGTGTCACTGGGGCAGGAACCGGACAGAGGAAAGCGATGAACTGAGCAATGCTCAGAACTGGCTCAAGACCCGTGCCCATGAGCATCAGGCGGCAGACCCGTGTGGAGCAGGCCAGGGGAGAGTTCACAGGGGTTAGGGGACCCTGGAGACCCAGAGAGCAAGTTCTCCCCCAAGGGCCAGCTGCTCCTTGGGCCAAAGGCAGATGGCAATGTGGGCCCTTAATCGTTGCATGTTCCAGTCTTTCTGTAGAAGATGAAACTGTGCACCTTAATGTAGTATTTCCCAATTTTTGGATGTTTTTAGATTTCAAAATTTAAAAAACTCTTCCTGGGGGGCTGGGGATATAGCTCAGTTGGTAGAGTGCTTGCCTCACATTCACAAGGCCATGGGTTCAATCCCCAGAACCACACACACACACACAAAGAACTCTTCCTTACCAGGCATGGTGGTACATACTTGTAAACCTTCCGTACTTGAATGGAAGGATCTTGGAGAGAGGGTGATGACAAGACTAGTTACTCTGGAGGCTGAGGCAGGAGGATACAAGTTCAAGGCCAGCCTCAGCAACTCAATGAGAAATAAAATAAAAAGATGCTAGTAGTAGAGCACCCCTGAGTTCCATCTCCAGTACTGAAAAAAAAAATGAAAACAAAACAAAACTTTAAAAAAAAAACCCTCTTGCTCTACAAGCCGGTGTAGGGCTCCTGGTCATGAAAATTTAGTAAGGGGCTGGTTTTCAGATTCACCTGGCTGCCAAGGACCAGGTGAATATAAAAGGTGAAA